TAACGTTGTGAGCGAGCGATTTGGCTACTGCAGAAATTAGTTTGCTCTGGAGCCCCATCCTCCCTGAGCTAAGACAAAACTCTGTGAGCTGGAGGCTAAAAAACTGAGCTAGCTCACACTAACTCAGCTTAGAGGGAACACTGTACATGACTACTGGGAATGTTGCCTTAGGTGGACCCAACCTCAGGAACTCTTAACATAGACTAAGTATGCCTCAACTAAGAGATGTCGAATGTGCATTCTTGCATATTTAAAGCATATTGGTGAACCATGGTGATTGTCGTTCAAAAAGAAAACTAAACTGTGCAGTACTGAAGCCAGTCCACCCCTTTCTTAAACCAGTGGCCACGAGTCTCAGCAGAAGACAGAGAGCAGTGAGCAGAATTTATTATTTATTTATTTATTATTTACTAACTTTCAATGGCAGTGATTATACATTACTTCAGTAACTGATTCATAACAGCACAAATGTCCAAAATGAATGTCCATCCAGTCATGCTTATTTGGAATAGGAAATTAAATGAACAAAACTAAGGTTTTAGTAATAGTCTCAAAGTGTCTGTTAGGCATGACTCCAGCCTTGGCGATTTCATTTGACAATAGTGTCTTGACTCCAGCTTGAAGCATTAAGAGTCTGGCAGTAACATTAACATTGATTTTACTTATGGACCTAGATAAAGTCCATCACCAAATCTGCATCTCAAACTATTAGAAAGGTACTTACCATCTGCGACCTCTGATCAGCTTAGCTATTTGAAACCATTGTTGAATAATGCTCCTGGGGGATATCTTTAACAACACACTGTTGGTCAATACTTACAGACTTTTAGTCTGTTTATTTGGATTAATTCCAGGCAGTCTCATCCATCAATGCTGAGGCTATAATGAGTGCTATAAAGGCTGGGTCCGTGCAAACCCTGATTGGAGCTTTTGTACATCGTTCAGGAAGATCAGTACAGCAAGTATTCTCAAGCCTGTAGTTATTTTCTGTCCTCATTCAACATGGACATTCCATATCTTCTCTCTACTTTATTTTGGGTGGGTAGAAAAGTGATTAAACAAGTGGTTGCCCAACAGTTTCATATATCATCCCCCCAAAAAAACCATTGCCATACGCTTTCAGCCTGCACACTATCAACCCTTTGGTAGAAGCTTTGATTCTATCTTTCTTTAATTCATTTTCTTCATAAATAGACTAATGTTCCTAAATGTGTAGCTAGAGTGTGGTTAAGTGCCGCACTGGGTCAATTATCCTTGGAAGCTAGAGCCTGGGCTTTCCATTTCTATTTTGAAGTGCTGCTTAGTTATTCTGGATATTTAGCTCTGATAAAAGTGGATTCTTTCAAATTCTCTTGTTTTAATATTTTTTACTCAAAACTTCCGTTCATTGGTTTAGGTCCTGAAATGATTCATGAACTTGATTCTACAGAAGTTAATTCCTTTATTAGGAAACACAAGTGGGGGCCCACAAGAAACTTACAGGGAGGGTGCATTCCTTCACCCTCTTTATTTTCTTTTTCCCCTTCACTTATCTGTCAACCTACCTCCATCACTTTTGCTCCCCAGTCCCTTCTCTATCAATCTATCCCCCTCTGATAACTTACCCCCTATTTCTCCCCCTCTTTTGCCCTCCCCATCTTAGAATATATATTTTTTTAAAAAGAGAAATTTTATTGGTTTTCAGAAAAAAAGGGAGAAAGGAGAAAGCCTTACATTTTCACAATATCTGTTTTGATTTCCCATACGTAACATAAAAATTGAATTTCATACAGTTTTACCGTCGCCTATACTAGCTACTTAACAATACTATATAATGAAGTAATATAAGAAGTTGAATGCTTGCTTTCATCTATCAAATACCTATACATTCTGCTATTATTTCTACTAAAAATCATCTAAACGCCAAGTTGCATAACTTCATACCTGGCATCTTTAACTAAAAGAAAGAACAATTAATACCTGGTTAAAAAACAGAGAGAACCAAGATGTTTCCTTGTTGCCATATTTCATAAAGAGTATATGTTTCCTATTTAATATGTTTCTAGTTTTAAGCATTTCTAATATATATAAGAACAACAATATCTATAAGCGGTAAGTGAGATAAAAAAAGAAGAAGCAGAGGAAAAAAAGAAAAAAAATAATAACTTTTCAATCAGATTTGTTAGAAACTTCAATCCAGGTACCTATCCAATGTACTAGCTCTTACTGCTTTTGAGCTTAACCATTATATTATTGTTGAGGTCTTCATCTGAATACATTTCTAATAATATAGATCTTTAAAAAATTTCAGTTTAGACATTTCAGAAGTGGCTGCTGGTGGCTCGGCTCAGCCTGTGCCTAAGAGATTAACTGCTTAGATACCGGCTACTTGATAGGACCAGATGGAGCTCCATTAATTCCATGTGGCACCCGCTGAGTGGGTAGCTGCAGTACCACCCTCTGGCCATTCACAGAGGTGGTGCTGAAAAGCAGTTCAGTAGAAAATAGCAGAAAAACGCCAAGGGAAGACCATCAAAGATTAAATGCACTTGAAAAGTCTGAGAATAGGATATATTAAGTAAGTGTTTAAATTACAAATAAACATCTATAATTAATTGGTGGTCCACAACTCGAAACAAATACAATGTTCCCAAATATAATCATATGTGCTCATGGCATATCATACTTCAACATAGAGATACAGATAAACCTAACAGTAATTGCGCTCACAGACGCTGATAACAAGGTAGGCACATAAATCCAACCGGGGGATTCTCCTTGCTTCAATGCAGTAAAAGTGTCCAAAGACCTCCTGCAGTCATAAATCAAGCAGAGGATGACCTGTGAAAAATGCCCTGTAGCTGAACAACGCCTTTCCTAGGTATACAGACATTTCAATTTCTCTTCTTCTGGATAAGTGGCTGAATAATGGAACTGTAAATAATAATATAACATACACATGCAATACCTCCAATATTCAAGAAAATTAACAGATGATGACAATATATAAATTTACACCAATTTCAAAGAGAATTACATAGACTACCAGTTCTTTTAGCTGTGTTGAATCCCAGGGTTCGCACAAAGAGTAGCAGCACCCTTGGTACCTGATAGCCTGTAGTCGTTTGGCAGTGAGACAAGGAATGTTTCCTTCTGTCAGTGTACACACACACATGTACCGCCTGTGACAGTTTGGTGTAGTGGTTAAGAACGGTGGACTCTAATCTGGAGAACTGGGTTTGATTCCCCACTCTTCCTCCACATGAAGCCAGCCGGGTGACCTTGGGCCAGTCACGGTTCTCTCAGAGCTCTCTCAGCCCCACCTACCTCACAGGAGGTCTGTTTTGGGGAGAGGAAGGGAAGGAGATTGTAAGCAGTGTCCCCTCTAATCTGAGTTAGTGTGCGCTAGCTCACACATCTTTGTTTTAGCTCAGGAAGGATGGCTCCAGAGCAAACTAATTTACGCAGCAACCAAATTGCTCGCTCACAACATTAATGCCAGTAGCTCACAAAGTAGAATTTTTGCTCACAAGACTCCACGGCTTAGAGGGACCACTGATTGTAAGCCGCTCTGAGACTATAGTGAAGGGCAGGGTATAAATCCAACTCTTCTTCTCTTCTTCCTCTTCCATCTGAAGACCGGCAGCTAACGCTGTGGCTGGTCAGTGCAGCACTTTGTGCTGGTGACGACTGGTGCTGCATCTCACCTGAAAGTCAGCCCACCGCCTGGTTGTGTTGTTCATACCTTCTCCTTCTGGTTTCCAGATCAAAGACACGCTGAGAAAGTATACCAAGATTTTGGAAGACACTGCCTATCTTTTATCATCTGATATCCACAGGATCATACACAAGGAAGCCATGGTAAAATCCCTCTGCCTGAAAGGAGACTCTCGCCTTTCTGCCTTTATAAGAACACACAAATACAAAATAATCAGTCTCACATATAACAAGCATTCAAATTCCTTTAGGATTACAGAAAGAAATCAAAGATAGGTTATCAGTTACTTGGAGGTAGGTAGGTATATTTCCATTCATACTTGCCTGTTCCTAGAAGTCTTCTCAGTTGCAATAGGAGCTGCGGTGGCTCAAGTGGTTAAGACGCTGAACTGCAGGCTGTGTAAGGTCAGTAGTAGGTCAGAAGTAGTATATTCATCCTCAGTGGTTTCAAAGTCTGAATTATCAGCCTATGCCACTCTTTTGTTCTTCCTAATATCCTTATGATCTAACCATTTGTACACTCTGTTGTTAGCATAATCCTTTCTATCCCTCTCAGTTTTTTAAATTTTAGTTTCTTTAACGTCTTCGGACAGCGCTGGCTCTTCGGCTTGGAAACGGAGATGAGCACCGCAACCCTAGAGTCGGACTCGACTGGCTTTCGAGCAAGGGAGACCTTTACCTTTAAGAACACACCAGGCTTTGTCAGGAGGAAACAAATTCCGTTGTTTGGTGCAGTGGTTGAACTTTGCTGTCCTCCTGGCTGCAGAATCTGGCCTTTTAGTGACACGCACATTTGTATGTCTGTGGGAGGCTGGTACACTGGGCAGGAATGAGGGATGGCATCCATGGGCAGAGCTAGGCAGGGTAGAAGTAGGGCAGGCCACATTCCTGTGATATTTGGTTGCCTGCAAACATGCTTCTGTTAGGAACGGGGAGACAGTTGGGCTCCCCTTTGGAGCCGGGCTTTCTTGTTCTGTTCTGGGCTGAGCTGCCGGCAGAGCGGCTTATGTGGGTTTTCAGCATGGCACATGAGGAACGCCTGCCTGTGGAGGGTGCCTGTGGGCTGATGCCTCTGGTGTCGTAAATCACACGTCCTGCAAGACCAGAGCAGTTTTGCAACTGTTAATTTTTTAAAACAAGGGGAAACGCAAACGTTTCAATGATTAAAAGCACATTCAGTGCTTATAGAAATGAAATAAAAAGCTCACTTGAAGAAAAAATGATGGCAGAACCAGTGCCCAGTTTGCTGGGAGGGACGTCTGCCAAGGAAATAACCAAGTCAGGTGGATGTTGGGCTCAAGGCGTGGGTGGAGAAATGGCTGTGGCTTTGCTGTTGACATAACGTGTTTTCAGCCTTTATGTCAGCCTCATGACCTTGTAATCAATACAAATGTACAGATACACCTTCTGCTGCGGTGGCTCGAGTGGTTAAGACACTGAACTGCAGGCTATGGAAGGTCGGTAGTTCAGCAGCTCAAGACCTGAGTGTGCCGCATGATGGAGTGAGCTCCCATCTCTAGTTCCAGCTCCTGCCAACCTAGCAGTTCGAAATCAAGAAACTGCAAGTAGATAGATAGGTACCACTTCGGTGGGAAGGTAACAGCGTTCCGTGCGCCTTGGTGTTTAGTCATGCCGGCCACGTGACCACGGAAACGTCTTCGGACAGTGCTGGATCTTCGGCTTTGAAACGGAGATGAGCACCGCAACCCTAGAGTCGGACTCAACTGGTTTCGAGCAAGGGAGGCCTTTACCTTTACCTTTTAAAGATACACCAAAGAAACCTTAATTCCTTTCCTGTCCTCACTTGGCCGTCCACTTGCTTGGATTAATGAGTCAATTAGCAGTGCAGTCCTAAACAGAGTTAGGTGACCTTAGACTCCAGTGGCCTTGGAATGGTGCACCTCTGCTTTGGGGTGCACTTCCAATGAATTTGTGAAGTAAAAATTGAGCCCGGGCTTTGGTGAGGCGTCCCCATTTGTCTTACTGGGCCCATCAAGTTGGTTGCCGGAGTTTCACGTTCACTTTTCCTCACCATGTTGTCTCCCCCAGTTGTCACTGATTATTTGCAGCACTCATTAACTTTTCTTGCCTTTCCCAAGCACAGATGATAAACCAAGCCCTGCTGGCGAATCGGAGAGCCGTGGCCAGGCTGTTTGTTAACCTGATGGAGGCCGACCTGAAGAAGGACGTCTCCTTCCGGCGCAAACTGAAGGAGAGGATACAGGCCTGGAAAACCATGCAGAAAGAGTTTATACTTTGCAGTTTCAGGTCAGGAACCGGGGAAGAGGAGATGCATTGCACCACTGACTCTGGACAGACGTTTAGGCTAGGCAGTGGCCCAGAATTGGTTCCCTGGAGTGACCTGATTCCAGAGGAGAATGGGGAAGGCTCTGGCCTTTTAGTCCCAGTGTCCTGGGTGAGGTGCCTGAACTCCCCTTCTCTGACCTGCAGCTCCGGTGGGGCAGAGAACAAGAGGCGCGGAGTGGATTCAAGCCCTGCACCACCCAACACCTTCTTAGCTGAACCTATCTGCTGTAGAATTCCCTTAGTGTCTGGAACACTGTCACAACATAACAGTCTTTCCACAACAAGCAGAGATGAGGCTAAATCATCGTCTCTGTGCTGCCCCCAGCCAGCGTTTGAGACTGTAATTAAGCAGAACTGCCATATATCTTTTAAGAGCAGTGGTTCCTGGGAACTGAAGTCTTTAGTTAGACATCCCACAGCATCCGGCACACAGAGGCGTGCGAGGGTTCAAGTTTTACAACTCTCTTCCTGTAGCCTTTGTTCTCTATAACCGGCAAGGAGTGGGGACAAGCATCCTTTTCACCATGAGCCAGAGAACAGAATTAGATTACAAAAGATGTATACAAGCAGGCCGAGGCGATGGTTGCCAGAAACGTCTCCATCGGTGCCCAGACAGGTTGCTCAGTCTGAAGAAACAGATTGAAGCCAGTAGCTTCATGGGCCCAGACGGGTCGCTGTTGGCTCCTGTTCTCCCCTGATCCTGGATGGGTTGGTGGCCATGGTCCTGCTTCCTGGCCACCTGTAGTGGCGGTGTTTCTCCAAGAAAGCAGAGGACAACTCACGGTGCTCTCCTCTGGCAACGCTGGGCACTTTGGGAAGGTCCCTGGCTGCCTGCACCTTCTGGCTTTTCAGCTGCAAAAGAGCCCCAGTAAAATACTTAATCTGATGTTTGTTTGTGTCCTGTAGAAAATTTATGGAAAACGAAAGGATACAGAACCCAAGCATTGTGAAAAATGAGCTGGAAAACATGCTAAAAGATCAACTGACCCTCAGCGACAAGAGGACTGCGCTTTTATACTCTCTTGGGTATGTGGGCGGCAGGAGAATAAAACGCAGCTCCACAGGTGGGCGGGGATGGATTCAGCATCCAGCCGCCCCCACCGGGGCAGAAGGTCAAGCCCCGAGTTGGTTTTGATATCGGGAGGAGGGTGTGGGCAGCAAAGGGAATGAGGTAGGGGGAACGAAGCTGAGAAATCCCATCTGCAAGGAGATGCACGTCCAGAAAGATCTGGGAGGAGAAAGGACAGCTAAGCTACGAAGCTGAGAGGGAGGAGCCGGCAATCTAGAGTTAAAGTGGGCAGGGGGCAGGCTATCAAGTAAATACGTAGGGATGAGATTTCCAAGTGCATCTCAGTTTTGATCCCAGCAAGAAATTGGTCGGTCTGAGGATCTAGGCCCAGATGGTGACTTTGTAAGCAAGGAGCGGTCCCCTTGGAGAGCCAGTTTGGTGTTGTGGTTAAGTGCGCGGACTCTCATCTGGGAGAACTGGGTTTGATTCCCCCACTCCTCCACTTGCACCTGGCTGTGTGACCTTGGGCAAGCCGTAATTCTAATAAGAGCTGTCCTTGAAAAAAGAGCAGTTTCTCTCAAGTGCTCTCTCAGCCCCACCCGCCTCATAGGGTGTCTGTTGTGGGGAGGGAAAGGTAAAGGAGTCTGTAAGCCACTCTGAGACACCTTTGGGTAGTGAAGGGCGAGGTATAAATCCAATCTCCTCCTCCTCTTCTTCCTCTTCTTCCTTCTTCCTCTTCTTCCTTCTTCTTCTTCTTTCTTCTTCTTCCTCTTCTTCCTCTTCCTCCTCTTCCTCCTCTTCCTCCTCTTCCTCCTCTTCCTCTTCTTCCTCTTCCTCCTCCTCCTCCTCCTCCTCCTCCTCTTCTTCTTCTTCTTGGCCCCTGATGTCACCTGGCCTTTGCTGAGCAGGGGATTGGCCTGTGGTGGCACCGAAGTCCAGCAAAGAGCAGGCCAACTGCTTTGCCTTCTGCCCAGCTCCGAATGCCCCCGGCTCTCTTCTGTGCATTGGAGCTGGTGGGTTACTTGTTGCGGGTGGAGCTGGCAGTGTTGGAGACGGGTGTTTCCAGCCAGGGAAAACACAAATGACCTGTTAGGAGTGCAGGTGCACCCTCTGAGTGCTCCGTGGGCTGATTCTTGTTTCTTGTTCCGTTAGCAATTTATTGCCTCTGACGCATTCCAAGGCTGAGATAAACGAGTGGTACGAATCTGTCGTGGCGTTAAATAAGCGTATAGGTAAGCAGGGAAATAGCTCGATTTTTTTTCCGGTGTTTACACTGGGGATGGCCCGCGGGGGGGGGGGCTGCTCTGTTTCTCCAGACGGAGGTTTGCAATGAGTCACAACCCAGCGTGCTCATGGAGCTGTGTGATAAAATCAGGGCGAAGATTGTCTTCGCGGTGAGGACTTCACAGGGATAGAATCCAGAAACTCCTGTGTGGCACAGGGGCATTGCACACAAACGTTGGAATGGAACCATGGCAAGCATGGAAAGTTTCTGTTCCACGGGTGTAAAGTCCCATCAAGTTGAAGCTGACTTCTGGTGACCCCAGCAAGGGGCTCCCGAGACAAAGGAGAGGCGGAGGTGGTTGGCCATGGCCTTCCTCTGCAGAGCCTTCCTTGGTGGCCTCCCATCCAAGTACCGACCCTGCTTAGTTTCCAGATTATGGTGACCCCCAGCAAGGGGCTTCCAAGGCAAGTGGGACGCAGCGGTGGTTTGCCACGTGGCCTTCCCCTGCAGAGCCTTCCAGGTTCCGACTCCGCTTCGCTTATGAGATCAGACTGTACCAGGCTGCCTTCCCTCCCTTCTGCTCCCTACGCGGTCTGCGAACAAAATCCCTTTGCACTTAATGCTGTTACTGCTCCCTGACTAAAATTTGGTTGGAGCCCTCCTGGCCACTTGGAAATGCTTTGTGGGCTTGCTTTGGCCTCTAGGCTGACAGGCGGCTGTCCCTGGTTTACAGGCCTGTCTGTTTAAAAATGTGCATTCTGACAAGTCTCCAGGTCAGAGCGAAGTGCCTGACGGTAAATACACCTAGAACTTCCAAAGAAGAAGGAAAGAGAAGAAAAGGAAAATGTTTTTGTTCTTTCTTTGTTCTATTATTTCTCTGTTATTTTTTATTCTTCTTTAATAAAAAAAAAATCAACATTTGGGGGGGGGGGAAAGAACTCCCAAGAGGGCCCGGGAATGGCTGGTTGGTCGCAGTTATCCCTGCTGTAGGTTACAGAAAATTGTGAAGATTTCATGCCAGATCTTTTCTTCCTTCAT